AGGAGGTGCAGGTGCGGGGGGGGGGAAGAGCCCAGGGCTGGGACAGCAAGAGGTGCGGGTCGGGGGAGGGCCCAGGGCTGGGGCGGCAGGGGGTGCGGGTGGGGGCCAGAGCTGGGGCAGCAGGGGGTGTGGGCGGGGGAGAGTCCAGGGCTGGGGCAACACAAGGGTGCGGGGGGAGCCCAGGGCTGGGGGGGGGGGCGGCAAAAAAACCTAAAGCTGGCTCTGTCCCTACCATTCACAGCAAGCTGCAGGTTTCAGTTCCATACTCCTTCCTCCTCCCTTTCCTGTTACTAGTGGCCGAGGGAATGCTGGGAAATGTAGTTCTTTCCCTGCTCCAGGGCTGGCTCTATAGGCAGGGAGCTAACCAAGGAACTACAGCTCCCAGGGCTCCCTGTTGGTTCTCAGCTCCCATGCTGGATTCTTGCGCCCCTGCAAATGTGCCGCCCCAAGCAACTGCTTGCTTTGCTGGTGCCTAGAGCGGGCCCTGTTTCCAGGGGTATACTCCACGCACTTCTCTTTTAGAGTCATCCTGAAGGTGCTCAAACCCCAAAGGCGGATTTGAAACCATTTTGTTCTTCTTCCTGTTTGTAATCCAGAGCAAAATTGAGTCAGAGTTCCTACAATGAAAGCAGCACTGTGTGCAGGCATATGTGCCAGGATACCGTTCATTGGCTTTACTGAACCTGTGATGGATCACCAGTGTTCCGGTTAGACCTTAAGTGAAAAGGGCCTGATTCTCCTCTCATTTACACCCCTGTAAATTGGCAGTAACTCAGATGAAGTCAGTGCAGGTAATACTGGAGTAAAAGTAGTGTGAGGGAGGAATTCAGCTCAAAGTCGTTTATTAAAATCCTCTGATCACCTAGTAAAGAAGTCCCAAAGTTGTCATCCAACGACCACAGGCGGTCTGCAGAGGACATGCTATAGAGATCTGGCTGCTCACATGATGCTGGCTCCTCCTACTCCTCTCTTCCAGCTGCTAAATTTACTTAAAAGACAGCTAAATACCACGAAGGCCCAGATCCTCACCTGCTGTAAATCAGAATAGCTCCACTGAAGTCAGTAGAGCTTGGCCCTTTTATACCAGCTGAGAATCCTGCCTTTCATGTCTTCTGAATAATGCTTTTTCATGTAAACTCTTCCTGTAGTTGTATGAATGGGAGAGGAAGTGATCCATACAAAACGGGAGACAATCTCTATTAAAATGCAGTCAACACGGTGAAAAAGTTTGACTCCTCCTTGATATACTAGCATCCAGATATGTTCTGGAGTGATCATATCCGAGCTTCATCTACTAGTTCTGCTTCAAGTCGTGTCCCTATGGATGCTCCTCTTCAAGTGCGTATGCAGCTCTTGAGCCTTTGATCGGAGATTTTACGCTAGCAGCATCCTTCAGGCTGCGTATGCATCCTATAGATCCTCATGCCACACACCAAGGCTATAAAGGGCTGCTCTGCAAACCATCCTCAGTTCCTTCTCAACTACTTCAGCCTGAGACAGAGCCCTAGCATATCTGCTTTGAACGTGCCGTCGCTCACTTCTTGTTTATAGTTTACTACTATTTAGTATTAGATACAACAGTTGTTAGTAGATAAGTAGTGTGAGGATTAACTTTGTTCCTCTCCTTTCCTTCAGGGAGCCTTACTCTCTGGCAGGGCATGCCTGGCTCTCCAGGTTTCAAATGTTTCCTCTCTTGTCAGGAAGCTATTCTGGTTAGCGACAGCCACTCTAAGTGTGTCTGCTGTCTGGAAGAGTCACACATCTCCCAGAAGTGTAATGTCTGCCTGGCCCTTAAATCCAAGACAAGGAAGTACCGGGAGATCAAGCTGAGGCTGCTGATGATGGAGTGCTCCCTTTGACCCACTTCAGTCAGGTCAGGAGAAACTCCTCCCGCCCCCACCCTGGAAATCTGTCTCTGGGCAGATCCAGCACCCCTTTGACCTCAGCACATATCTTCCCATAAGAAAGGGAAGATTCTTGAGGCCTCAGTGAAGGCTCCCAAGAAGAGGAGCTTTGACTCCCTCCCATAAGGAGTATGCTCCCAAAAGACCTTAGTCCCCTGCTGTGTGCATGATATCAGAAGCCTCGATCTCTCAGCTTGGTACTGTAGAGGTGAAAGACTCTCGGAGATCCAAGGAGAAACATGGCTCTGACAGAGTCCTGGTACTGTCTACAAGGGACAAAGAGGGTAAGGATAAGCACTCCTCCAGACCAATACCATTGTGCACAGCTCCATCTTTGGTACCTCCCCAGTCAGGACCCTGGGTACTGTGCAAACTGAAGCATCAGACACTATCGGTGCCTACTTCGGTATGCTCTAAGAGTACCATCTCCTTCTGTTGTCAAGCACATTGGTACCAATCCTCCACTCGGTACCACAGGAATTTAGATACTCAAAAGACTTATCAGTGGCGGATGAACCAAAATCTCCACTTTTCATGGGTACTGAACACCTCTCAGTACCGAGCCGCCGATCTCCAGACTACCGTCACTCTCCAGTACTTCCAGACTTTCCACCTTGTTCTATTAGTACCCACCAGTTGGAGGATATTGAAGAGGAAGAGGGAGACCTCCATTCAGTCTCTTCCATCTCAGTGTAGTGTTCTACCCACCCATACAGGAACTGATTCTTTAACAGGCATAGGGAAGATCCTCATGCATAACACTAAGGTGATGGGACCAACCATGGATGCTACCCCCTCTCCTTTATGGACTCCCCCAGTGGCTATATTGGGGTCCCTGGGCTGCGTACCAACAGCAATTTGCCAAAACACCAACTCAGACACATTGGAAAGCTAGAGATATTTGATCCTCTTCTTGCCAACTGAGACCCCAACATGAGGAGACATTTCAGGAACAGGAAGATAAAGAAGCCACCTCTCAAACTCCTATCTCTTTATTGTCTCCAGATGAGACCATGATGCTTCCACCACCATCCATGGCCAATGATCTCCAGCAATTTCGAGACCTTATAAAGCAGGTAGCCAACATTCTTCAAATACCACTCAAAGATGTCAAGGATTCACAACACAAATTATTTGACATTTTACAACCAGCGACACCCACAAGAGTAGTATAATTCATTAATTAGGTGCTCTTGGGCCCAGCAAAGATTGTTTGGCAAACACCCGCTACCATTCCAACAACTTGCAAATTGGCAGTTAAAAAATATTATGTCCCCTCCAAGGACTCCAAAATTTTATTCTCCACCATCCCCCTCCATGTAATTCTCTGGTGGTGGATGCAGTGAATGAGCAGGGTAAGCAACACTACTACAAGTGTGCCCTGCATGACAATGACCAAAAGTGCTTAAGCCTCTTTGGACAGAATATTCATCTGCGACCCTGCAATTTGAGATCACAAACTATCAGGCAGTCATGGCTAAATATAATTTCACAAACTATGATAAATTTATGGCCCTTATTGATCATCTTCCACAGGAACAGAGGAAACAATTTCAGGCCATCATCATGGAGGGGCCAGTTATTAGTCAGGATGTCTCTTCAAGTGTCCTTGGATGATGCAGACACCACTGCCAGGTCCATTTTTATAGCGGTAGTATGAACAGGGTATCATGGCTTTAACTCCTGGAGTTCCAATAAGGTCTGAATCTCCCCTTTGATGTTTGAAAGTTGTTCTCAGAACCACAGATGAGTCTCTTCACACACTAAAAGACTCCAGGGTTATGTTAAGATCACCAGGTATATGTAACTCCTACAAAAAAAAATTTGAATAGGTCAAAAACTGCCCAGAGATCTCATCCTGATCAGTTCTCTGGGTTTCACAGATCTACCAAACCCCCAGGAAGAG